CCATCAGTAGATGAATGGATAAAGAAGAGGTGGTACATATACACAATGGAATACTATTCAGCCATAAGAAAGAAACAAATCCTACCATTTGCAACAACATGGATGGAGCTGGAGGATATTATGCTCAGTGAAATAAGCCAGGCAGAGAAAGACAAGTACCAAATGATTTCCCTCGTTTGTGAAGCATAACAATGAAGCAAAACTGAAGGAACAAAATAGCAGCAGACTCACAGACTCAAAGAAGGGACTAGTGGTTACCAAAGGGGACGAGTGGGGGGGAGGAGGTGGAGAGGGAGAGAGAAGGGGATTGAGGGGTATTATGTTTAGTACACCTGGTGTGGGGCGTCACGGGGAAGACAGTGTAGCACACAGAAGGCAAATAGTGAATCTGTGGCATCTTACTACACTGATGGACAGTGACTGCAATGGGGTATTGGGCGGGACTCGATAATAAGGGTGAATGTAATAACCACATTGTTTTTTTTGTGAAACCTTCATGAGAGTATGTATCAATGATACCTTAATAAAAAAAATAACTACAAAAAAACCAGTCATGACAACCTTTTCAAAACCAAAAACTATATATATATATATAAAGTAGAAAATTACAAAGGGAAAGTAAATGTTGAAACAGGGTTTTTTCTCTTAATTCTAAAAGACTACTTTGAAGACTTCTTTAGAAATTACTTTGAAAATCTAGATGAAAGAGGTATTTTTCCTAAGGGAATACAAGTTACTAAACTTCACCCTGTTAGAGAAGAAAGCATAAACAGACCAATTTCCATAGGAAGGCAAAGTGATTAACTATTCGCCAAAAGCATAAAATCTGGATAGTTTTACAGTGGAATTCTACTTAACCTCCAAAGCCAGAGTGGCTAATGCCTGATAAATTCCTAGATCTTTGAATGAAGAAAAGCCCTCTATCATGAAACAAATATAAAAAGGATATTTAGAAAAGATGAAGACAGCACTGAAAAATAAAATGGAAGGTGAATATGATTCATGAACACCAATGCAAAATACTAAATAATATATTAGCAAACAGAATGGAAGATCACATTGAGTATATAATGTATCATGATCAAGAGGGCTTTATTTCAAGATGCAAATTGTTTCAATTAATATTATATATGATATTAACAGATCTTGGGAGGAGGAAAAAACTCATAATTATTTCCAGAAACACTGAAAAATCCTTTTTAAATTTCAAAACCAACTTCTGATTTAAAAAACAAAATTTTAAAAATTGAGGGATAATTTCTTAGTGTGGATATACATATGAAGAAACACTAGAGTCATTTGCACTAGGATCTAGATTAGGGCAATGTTACCCACTGTCATTGCTATTACTCAGTATCATGCTAGACATATTAGTGAATGTTTTAGGCAGGTAACACCACTTAGTTGCATATGAACTGGTTATGAAACAATAAAATAATTTCTTTGCATATTATGTTATTATGTGAACATATTTTGAAAACTCCAATAATCAATGGTTTAACAATAAAAAATCAGTAAGGTAGCAAGGAAGTAGGATATAAAACAGGAATTTATAAATCAGTAACATTGGCATACAACAATAGTAATTAGCTAGAAGATATTATGGTTGAGAAAAATATCATCTACGACAGAAAAAGTTCAATATTTAGGATTCAGTTTAAGAAATATAAAAACTATGTATGACTTAATCTTTAAAATATTCCCAAAAGATATAAAATAAACATGAAGAATTGGAAGGACAGCCTATGTTCCCATAATTAGATGACTCAATGTTATAAAGACGTTAGATCTCCCAAAGATAATTTACAAATTTAACACAATCCCAATAAGATTATCAAGTTTTTAAATATATTATGGCAGTAAAAAAAACAGATGAGAGAATGAACATAAATTTCAGAAATAACCAAAGTACATAAGAAAATGTAAATATGATAAACTTGACATCTCAAATAACAGAGGCACAGAATAATTTTTTAATAAGTGATTCTGAGTTAACAGAAAAGCCCTTTGGAAAACATAAAAATTAAATTCATACTTCACACCATCCAATAAACTCCAAATGGATCAGGAAATAAAAACATAAAACCATACTAGCACTAAAAGTAAACATGGATGCATTCCACACAAAGTGGAATGTAACCAGTAAAACTTGAACCAAACTCTGTTAAAATTGAGTAATACAACCACTGAAGGGGATAGGAAAGAAAACAGTTCACCTAAGTAACTTTAGGAAACAATATTTTGAATACATACTGTAAAGTCAAAAATAATTGTACATGAGTGTTTTATTCTAGTTAATTGGCTTTCATAGACATGTATTAAAATTCTAAAACTATGTGTTTACTAGAATTGAACCAATAAGAAAATATATTATAGATAAATTAGAACCAGGTGTCTTACTCTTGGAAAAAGAGTTGCAAGTAAGGAAAGGAAAAGGTTAGAATGAACCTCACAGGGTTTAGATTGGAATCAGAGCTATAAGTACGAACTCATGGTTTGTAATATATGTACAAAGGAATAGATATTGAAATACAGATGCTTGTGAATGTGTGTGTACAACATATATTTTCTACTTCTGCCCACTGAGAGACCCAAGAAACAATGACACCCAATATCAATGAATACATCTAGTGCCCATATTTTTGTTTCTAAATACCACTCTCCAAAAAAACACAAAAAGGAACCAGTGCTCTTGGAGAAATTCCATTGCTAGATGAAGGAGAGCCTGTAATAACAGAATGATGCATTCAGAAAATTATGGAGACATGTGAAGGGACAAAAAAGCCACATTACAGGAGGTTCCAGTAAGCAAATTTTTTATTATGAGCAACAAAATAATAATGATAGCAATGTGTTGTAACCTATAAAATAAAATGCCATCTGTAAATCTACATTGAGTAAATAAATAGGTGAATAAATAAACAGAGAAGTCATAGCTCTTTGTTATGGCAGAATTACAATTAATATGTTGGGAAGAATGATGATAATATTGAGTCAGCATTTGCAAACAGCACAGCAATACTGTTGCAGGTAAGAATGATAGAAACCAGATTAATGGACAAATGTACTGAGAAACACTTGCATCATTTCTCCCTATGACAGTATCTCCTCACAACATATTTATTAATTAAAAAGGGAAAAATAGTAACAGTTTACAGTTGAGAAACTTGGAAGAAATCACACTTAACCAAATGATCAAGTTCACATCACCAGTAATAAGATACTTAAGATTATGTACCTCCTAGTATAATATACTTCTGTGATAATCTTGGCAAAAAGGCATAAATCCAGCTAATGATGAAAATATCAGACAAACTAAGGGACATTCCTCTGATCAGTACTCTAAAATTATCAAGTTCATGAAACACAAAAGCAGAAATTATATCAGATTAGAGGATAACAAGAGAAATGAGAACAAAATGCAATGTATGATGATCTTGGTTGGGGTCCTGAACCAGAAAAAGGACCTTAGTGAGGCACCTGCTAGAATCTGAACAGGGTCTGTAGATTAGTTAATAGAATTGTCAATATTAATTTATTGATTTAGGTAAGTGTTCTATGGGTATATAAAACAGTAATATAAAAATGTTAATGTTAAAGGATTTATGGGGATTCCATGTAGAGACACTACGTTATTCAGTCTGTTCATTTTGAAAATAAACAGTCAAAACAATCTATAAAAACATTAAATTAAAGCCAAGGGAAATAGATTAAAATGATATACCAAATATCTGAAATGTCTTTTAATAAAGAAGCCTATAGCAAATATCATAGTTAATAGTGGAATATGTATTGTTCTTCCTGATACCAGGAACAAGCCAAGACAATTCAACATTTTACTCTCATCTTAGCCAGGACAACATGGCATGAACAAAAGTATAATCTTGGAAATGAAGTAAAGTAGAAGGTAGTCATTATTTGTAATAGTCATTACTCTCTCTCTTTATAGAAAATCTGGAAGAACATAATAAATAAGTAAAGTTGATAAATTTAGCAAGGCTCCTAAGGACAGATTAATTATATGCAAAATATCTAATTTCTATATACTGCTAATACAAAAGGAGAAAATAAATGTTTTAAAAATATGTCTACACTTGCATCAAAAAATCCAAATATGTAGAATTAAATCTAGTAAAATATGTTCAACATTTCTTCATAGGAAATATTAAAAATAAATAAATACATGAATAGAGGCATATACGATGTTCATGAATTTGGTATGCTAAAAATTCAATATGGCAAAGATCTCATTTTCCCTATATAGACTCAATAAGTCTTTGCTGATTTATATATTTTTGTTTGTTTTAAAAAGTCATGGTGTGGGGGGGGACTCAGAAGTTACTTATGTTATAAAATTTGCACATTAATGCAAAGGACTGAGAATAACAATCTTGACACAAAGGAACAAAGTAGGATTACCTACACTGAATACACTATCAAGGCTTATAATTCTACATTAAAACAGGAGGCACTGGCACAAAATCAGAGCTCCTACTTACCTTTCAAATATTCTCTTTTATGAAATACCTGTTGGCTTTTTCAGTTATCAAAACTTCACTGTTGTATGCTTTTTTGTAGCAGGTGTAAAATAATTGCATCATAAATGTTTATCTGCCTTTTTTCCCTGTCAATCTTCACATCAGACTGTGAAACCTCTCAAACACAGTGCCATTTCAACTAAAAACTGTTCAGCCTAGCAGTCTCTGACATATGAGATGTATGACTAAGATAACATCAGTAAATACAGTTTTCATAGTCATCAAAATCCCAGAAAGATAAACTTACCTCCTATATCTGGGCGAAGTTTATTGTCATAGCCTTGAAGCAGTGAGTTGAGAATTTGTGTTATATCTCCTTCATGAATCTTTGGTGCCAAGACCCAAGTTTTGTTCACTGTTAAGTCTTCATCATCTTCATCATCTGCTTTATCAATGCTAAATAATTTTAAAAAAATTGGATAGGCAGTTCAAGCAAACTGCATAAATAAACAAATAGTTAAAGATTATTGTAATTATTATAATTTTGTCAGGGAGTAGTAGGAAGAAAAAAAGCATTAGACATATTCTACATCCCATTAAGACTAACATCTACATCATATGAACTGTCCTGGTACAATAACACTCAAAAATTAAGAATTCAGCACAAGAAATATAACACATAATATTAAAATAATAAAACAAACCTTGGATGTCATTTAAAAGCCATAGATTTATGCACAAATGGTTTGAATGGTGGCCCTAGATTTGTGCAGGGCACAATGTGCACAAGCACATGTGGTGACTCTAAACCAGCACACTCAAAAATAAAAATGAAAAGATAAATAAATACAGGAAAAGTTGCAATAATTAGTCTGGCAAAATACATTTAAATATGTCTCCAAAACAGAAGAAAAAAGGAAAGATGAGTAAAGTTTTGAAAAAAAATAAAAAGGAAAAGCATTAAACACATCTATGCTTCTTCCTTTTTAAATCAGAAGAATTCAGATATCTTATACCAAGAATTTTGTCAAAGATCATCTTATCATCAAATCATGAGTAGGTGACTAACCTTCCATTCCTATGGAGGAGGCACGACTGTCAAATTTTAGGACTAGAAATGAAATTTCAAGGTCAAATAACCCCATTGCCATTATTCTGCAAACAAGACAACTGAAGACAGAAGGAAACTTACGACAGCACAAGCCTATTTATCATCAAAACTGAAAAGTACTAACTCCCCAGCTAATGCTTCCTGCTGCACCCTGTGTTTAACCAGCATAAGGATTCAACTAATTTCTGAAGTATAGTACTAAATGCAGCAACATAGATAATATTCATCTATAATTCTTCAAAAGTAACAAACTTCTCTTTGTTACTCATAAGTAACCCCTTCTTCATTTGAGTATGATCATCCTAGGTGTAACACACCCTACTTTAGTAAATCTCAGTCCTCCAGTGATAAAGGGTCAAAATACTAACCATCAGTATCAGGTAAATCCATAATATATTAGTTATTTGCATGTATTTCAGAGATAGGCTTCCCTCCAGCAGTAAACATGCAAGCTTATCTTAATATCTATAGTTTATCTTACTACACTATACATTCAGATCTCTTTTGCTTGGACCCAACATCTTAGCTAATGCACACCCACCTCCTTTATTCTTTTTTAAAAACATTTTTTCCAGTTTCACTAAGACATAATTGATATATAATATTGTGTTAATTTTAAGATATTCAACACAATGATTTGATACACGTGTAATAGTGAAATGATTACTACCTTAAGTTTAGTTAACATCCATCCTCTTTATCCTTAATGAGTATAAACATTATGAGCTAAAACTGAACTTTTAAAATATTTGCTATTTCATCTTCCTAATAATTCTATTGATACTTATCATCGACAGAAAAAGGGGTGCATTATTATTTTCAGTATTTCTCCTCTCCTTCCTGTCAGAGAATTATACTTTCCACTGACTTCTAACTTGGTCATGTGACCTGAAATGCTCCTCTTATAAGAGGATTACCCTATTGAACTTGGGTGTGACTCTGTGATTTGTTTTGGCTAATGAGATACATGTGACACATATTACTACCAAGTGAAAGATTTAATATCAGTGCACAGTTCACCAGATCTCTCTTGTCCTTCTGCTAGAAGACCAGTCATACTTAGACAGAAGCTACTCCATACTTCACTTCTAAGCAAAGGCAATATGTACAGAGCTGCAATTAAAATAAACACATAGCCTGAGAGATAAACATTTAGTGTTGTAATTATGTCACCAAGATTTGGGCGTAATTTATTACCACAGTATACAACTTTTATCCCTATGTGAACTCCTAGGGTATATTTAGTTAAAAGATTTTTAATGAAGTGCTCACTTACATTGTTTTGCTGTACCTAACTTCAAAAAGTATATATTACTGAAGTGTACTTATAAGATTTCCTTCAAATAATTTACTATTTTCTCTTAATGAAATGCATACATATGTTCATTAGTTCATGAACTAAAGCACAGACAATACTAAGTATTAAGAACCCCTGGTGGTGTGCCCTTCAGGAATGTTCTCTTTTCTAATTACAATTGCTGAGATACCAGCAACGATTCATGTTTTAGGGCATCTGTTTAAAGGGATGTTGTAAATCCCAGTTTTATAGAATGAAACATATGGTGGATAGAGGGAGGACACTGCACATATAGGTAGTTGATCTTTCTTTGAAATATGATTGTAGTCAAATGGAAGTTCCTAGATAAAAATGAAAGCTTTTTCTATTTTTTTAATGGCACAAGATCCTGGTAATCCAAAAAGCAGCACATGCTCCTAGTCACTTACATTCCCCTTTTCCCAGCTAGTTCAGAGTTAATATGAAAATGAACTTCAACAACACTGCAAGGGTAACTTTCCTCATTTTTTTTGGCAATAATAGAAAGGAAATCTCATTATAGTTAGTTTTCCTACATCTTCCCTCCAAGCTTTTTATTTTACCTATAGAATGTCATTAAATACCTTAATATTATATTGGCATTATTTTGATTATTAAAAGTACTTGTCATAAGTTTGAAAATAATTCATACAACATATGTGATGTCTTGACATGTTTCACAGGCTGGGAGATTTTTTGTAATGTTTACAAATGTTGAGTGACCATTCCTTTGGGAGAAACAAATATGCTTTTCTTAGGTAATACTCTGAGAATTGTTCAGACTCATGCTCAAGAACTTCTTTTAAATAGTTTGAATAAGTATAATTTTACTGTTAATGGAGATCCATTTAGACCCCTGAGTATATAATTTTACTAATTGTTTTTTTAATGATTTAAGTTTTTATCATGTTTCAGGAACTCTGTGTAATATTTCTCCCACATGTTAGGTCATTTAGTCCAGAGTAATCTCATGAAATAAATATGACTATGCTTATTTTATAGATGAGAAAAAACATTTACAGAATTTTCAGGAACACGCACTACTAAATAATAGAGCTAAGATTTTTTAAATGATTGATCTAGTTTTAGAAAATGAAGACTCATTTTCTCTGTCCTTCAAAGTTTCCACAGTATCACCTCATTTAATCTTTATTAAACAATCTAGCGTGGTTGGATTTGAGTTTTCTAATTCATAAGAACAAGCAACGCTTATGATAAGTAGTTAGGAAGTGCATCTGGATTGTATGGTTAGAATGTTTAGTCCTTGCCCTGAATTTGGAGAAGTTAGAATAATAATCTCAAGGACTCATGCAGGCACTCTGACTTTCTAACATGTGGGCTCAATCTCCAATTCAATGCCTTAGTTACTTATAGAGGAAGTACCAAGTATGACAAATGTTCTAAGCTCTGAAAATACTGACAAAATTGTGTTCCTGAACTAAATGATCTCATTTTCTAAAAGTGAAAACTATTTGAAAAGTGTTACAGAAAACCATCATATGCAAAGATGCTTATCACAGCATTATCTTTGATAGAACAAATTTTAAACAATACATTTAAGTAAATTATGATATATCCACATGGATTCAACCATTCACTTGATGGTTATAAATACTCTGTAAAAATATGAGATTATTTCCATAACTTAATACTGTATGAAAAATAACAAATTGCTTTTATCAAAACTTAGGTATAAAATGGCTATAGATTTAATGGGAAAGCAGTACAATGAAAGTAATAAGTATTCTACATTAGTGCAATTATAGAAAATTTAATTTTTTTCTGTATTGTAAGCATATACTACAATCTTTCTGTATAATTTTGTAACATAAATACATAAAAAGAGTTAATTTGACATTAATACCTACCTGAAAACAAACTGCCTTTTCCTATTACACCATATAGTGCTGTGAAATAAATTTCTAATCATGAATAATAAAGAATTAAATAGAATCTCTTTTATAGAAAAGCAGAGCTTTATCATTTGCAAGAAAACAAGGGTGGCAGCCCTGAAATTCTGCCAGTGGACTGACAGCCCAGGCGCCAGCCCTCTGGACTAGCATTGGGTCTACACCACACCCAAGCTTCCTGGGCAATCCTCCTCTGTAGGGCGCCCTGCATTGGGCAACTCCCACTGGATTGGACAAAACTTGCATAGAAGGGCAATAGAGTGTGAGGCTTTTCTGACCCAAATTTCCTCTCTCCCCTAATACTTTCACAGGTGTCAGACCTCTACCATTAGCTGAAGCCTCTCTTCCTCCTCCTCCCATTTATCTAGAATAGGCATTTCTCTCAAAAATTTCTTACATCTCTGCTCTCATCTTGACATCTGCTTCTCTCATTCTTTAGTTGACATCTGTAACTACTTACTAAAGCAAGTTTTTGAGTCACCTATATCAGTTGGTTTGCTTTTTTTTGTCTTGCTAAGCTATTTTCATACGTTATACAAATCCATCTGATTACATAATAAATGATTATATGTGAAATGATTTGAGTGTTTTAGTCTTCATATAATAGAGTTTTAAACTAATGATAACTAAGAGATAGGTTAAGTGAAGACAAGGCATTGCCATATAATCATGAAGAGAATTCATTTTCACAGCTAGAGAAAAACAATATATGTCTATATAGTTGATCAATAGGCATTAACTTTTTAATATACAGAGTAAACATTCATCAAAATTTGCCCAGGACAGCCCTGGTTTACACTTAGTGTCCTGAAATAATTATTAATAGCACCCTCTTTCACTCACAAAATGGCCTAAGGTTTTTGGTGATAAACTATATAGCCATCCCATATATAGTTCATATAAAGGTGACTTCACATATCCAGGTTCTGACACCTTGAGGAAAACTCTTCCATTAATCTGTTAAAACAGTGCAGATTAAATTCCAAAACCGGGCCTCATCCGTGGTCTGTTGCTCATGATAAATTAGTGTTTGTTTATAAATACCAGATACTTTTCTGCAAGCCAAGTGACAAGTTTCAGGAAAGAAACACACCTGTTCTAACATTTCTAAGTAGAAGAC